TCACTGTTACGCTCCTCCAATCCTTTTTCCACACTTCATGGAGACTTATCGCCAAATTTAAGGCAGATCTGTGCTCTATTTGAGATACTTATTTGGCTTCCTGTTGTGATTTGAGGTTGAACTTTGCCATTATTTACAAGGTTCTGCAAGATCTACACTATCTCCTTCCCCTTAGTTTTATCTCATTCAGTAGTCCAAGCACACTGGTCTTCTGTGTATGCTTTAAACTTACTAGCCTATTGATAATTTCTATTCCAGTATTCTTTATATTTTCTTAATTGCCTCTATGATAATGCAGTTACTTTTGTGTGTCTGCCTCATAAATACAACTTTAGTAAGGCCAAAGACTGAATCAGTCTTTTCTCCTTTGAAGCTTAGTAAACAAGAATTTGTTGAATAAATGAATGTATGAAGTTCATCTTTATGGAATCATAACGCTGGTTTTAAGTTTTACAATGTTTATAACTAAGCACAGTGAATGTATACCATGAAAATTCACATTTGCATTTTATTATTAGAACAAGAGTAAAAATAATACTCTTGGAGCCATCACTGTTGCCAGGCATTACATATATTTGTTGTTTTTGCACCAGGGTTTCTGTGTAATTCTTATAACTTTACTAAATGGTACTTGCTATTATTTTGAATTTTGGAGAGAAAACTCAGATTCAGAGAACTAATTTCTCAGGCAGCACAGCAAATTACCTTGACCATTAAAAATGTTACTAAATGCTTAATGCTACCACTGGTTGAATTATGCCTTTGGCTACTTTTTCCTGGATTTCTTGTATTTTCTGACTTTGAGATTTTAAGTCAAAGCTGGTTTCTTCTGAAGACTTTCAGAGCCCTCCTTCCTACCCACATTCATTCAGAATATCAAACCTCTTCTGAACAATACTTCAACGAAAAAGAGGTTTGTTCCAGCTAACCTTAAGGAATTAGAACAAATATGCATGGTAAAGGGTTAAAAAAAAAACCACCCTAAAATACAAACAGCTACTATCAAAGAAAATCACTGTAGTAGAAAATGAGCAGACCACAAATGATTCACCAAAGGACTTATAAATGGACAGCCAAGTGAAGAGTTTTATAATTGCTAGTCATCAAAGAGATGCAAAGGAAAACAAAATATAATTTTCTATCAATTTAGAAAATACTTAAAGTTATAACATTCAGTAATGACAAGGAAGTATAAATTGATACAATAATGACAGGATATTTGCCAATAGGTATTAAAAAATTAAAAGTGGTTATGCTAGAAGTAGTCTATGAATTGTAGGGAAATGGAAGTAACTGAAGATTTATGCCCAAGGTTGTTGATCGTATATTAAAATATATGAAACAGTGAATTCTTCAAGGAGATCAACCATGTGTTACTATCAGGAGCATAGACTCAAGCCAGACGGCCAGGACAGAGTACAGCTGTGGCATTCATTAAGTGCAGCACTGGCAGGGTTACTCACCATGCCTGTGCCTCAGTTTTGTTAGCTGTAAAACAAGCTGTGCCTTTTTTTCATTTCATAGACTTTTATGAAGATAAAGTCTTATGAGCAGTATTTAGAACAGTTCTTGTCACATAAGCATTATATAAAGTATGCAATGTTTTTACAGTTACTGAAATTAGGTTTGAAACTTGTTTGTGTTTTGTTTAGAGACTGGGTCTCACAATGTAATTCCAATTGGCCTTGAACTTACTATACAGCCCAGGCTAGCCTTGAACTTGAAGTGATCCTCCTGCTTCAGCCTCCTAGTGCTGGGATTACAGGCCTGCGCCACTATGCCCAGCTATATTTGATATTTTAATGAGGTATACTTATGGTTTAATTTTAATTAAAAAACAAAACATGTTTCTAGTATGATCACAGTTTTCTAAATATATAATGACCAAGCATACACATATATAAATTTAAAGAACATGCTAGTGTCACTTCCTCCCAGTTCTCAAAGGGAAAGCTGTTTCCATTTTCAAAATAAAACTGGCAAAAGTAAAATAAGCTTATATAAATTGAGGAATTCATTCATAATCCCTTGTTCCTTTGAAGATTGTTTAAAATTTGTCAAGTTTTAAATATACCGATAAATATAAAACAATATCTATTTTTTCATCTTGTGTTATTACCATATCCAAATAATTTATGTCCCTGATGAACATTTAGACTTGCTGCTCTTAAAGATGAGTATATTTATGTAGTGTTTATAATACACAGAAAAAAGGTACCAGAATGTAAATGCAGTAGATCTCTGGATAGAGCAATTAAAGAGTTATATTAACTTTCTTCTTTAAGGTTCATTATGTGGATTTTTAAATAATGAAAATGCATTCTTTTAAAATGTAATGTCTTAATATTTTGAGATAGAGGTTACTTTAGGTACTTACGGTGGTCCATAGTTACATATAAAATGTGCTCCATTGGAAAGTGTGTCAAAGCCAGAAACTCTAGGGCAAAATTGAACTGCACAGCCAACCTTGTAACTATCAGCCCAAACAACCTGAAAATAAATAAGGATTTTTAACACAGAAATGAGAAATGATGAGATGACTATTTGGGTATGATTATGCCTTCATAAACATAGTGAGATATATTCACCTCAGAGTTAAAGCTCTTTCTACCAGGTGTGTTTTAGGTGCTCAGAATTCTGCTGGAACCAAGACTCGTAATTATTACCCTGGTGTGTGTGTGTGTGTGTGTTGAGATAACAGAATTCTTAACTAGGCTGAAGAAATAAAACAGGTAACTTCTGGTTTAACAAGAGTGTTCTGGGGAACCACCTCCAAAGAGGAGACTTTGAACTGAGGTGTGAGTGGTGAGAATGAACGTTTAGGAAACTTGAGTAACGGAGAAAGTGCATTTCACGCAGCCTTCTTAGGGACAAAGGCCCCGAGGTGGAATTTGCTTGTTAGGATGCAGAAAGAAGGCCAGTGGAGCCAGGATGTACTGATTGGAGGATATAGGTGATGAGGTCAAAGATGGAGGAAGAGATAATGGAGATTCTTCCAGATACTTTTGATTCTTCTAGGTACTGCCTATTAGATGTTCTAGTGAAGATTGGCATGGCTGCTAGATTTAGCCACATGCAGTTCAGAGGACAGGGTTAGGCTAGAAATATAAAGCTGGAAGATACGGGGCTAGGTGAGATCCCACAGGCAAAATAATAGACAAAAACAAATGAAAGCCTGGGATTAAGAAAAAAACCCCCAAAAACAAGTTAACGAAGCAAATGAAAAGTAGTGGTCAGTGATGTGCAGGGAAATCAAACAGAGCCAGCTTCTAGATTCAAAAGATCTTCATCCTTGGTTTAAATCAATGCTGTTGCATATTTCAGTGCCTTCAGTATGCATTTCTCTTGCTTTTTGAGGGGATTCTACATTTTTGCACTGGTCCCTCACAAATTACGTGGGTCATCTCTGACCAAGAATTTTTGTGTCATAAAAAAATGAAGAAGTTATTTAAAGATCTAGTAGCTGGCAGCAGGCTAGCAATTTACACTTTTTTTATAGTGATACCAAATTACATTTTTTTACCATAATTTTTTGAACATTGTGACAAGAGTTCTGCTAAATGTGGGGGATACAAGGTGAACTAGAGTTAGCAGGTGGCCTTCACAAAATGTAGACAAAAGTAGTCATGAAGCCATTATATGAGAGTTTCTACCTTGGTGAAGGATTCTAAGGGCATGTTTGCCATGAGATCCTTTAAGGAAGTGAGGTTGACCTACAGCTGGTCTGAGAGCCAAGAGAAGTCTTCCAGTAAAGCTGGTGTGAACACTAGTTAGGGAAGGCCCATTCATGGAACTGAAACGCCACTATAGCTACAGAAAAGGATCAAGGCTACTTCAGAAACAAATAGAATTTGCTCCCTAGGGAGAGAGGACAGAAGAAGGAAGAAGGGAGCTGAGATGGAGTCTGAGCTTCCCCAAGGTTTGGAAGTGGAATTCGAGATAGGAAAGTGGTTAGAGAGCTGGTGGGCAAAGCTGTCTAGGTTGGAGTTGCTTAAGGAAACTTAACTTTACGTCATATGGGCTTAAGATTTCCATGATGAATCTCCCAAAATTAACTGAACTTACAAATTCTCTCTGGAGAACTAATGTTTTGGGCATGAGAAAATTCATTTTCTAAAATTCAGTCCTTTCCATATAGATGCTAGAGCTCAAGCTGAGTGACCCTAAACTCTTCTCTTTAAAAGATAACTGTATTCCACCACCTTAGAAGAGGGACCCCCATCATGGGATGTCCAGAGTGTCTCTGGGTCTGCTAAGATGTAGCTTCAGCAACCACTTTTTTTTTTTTTTTTGGTACCAGGGATCAAACTCGGGACATTGCGCTTGCAAGGCAGGCAGCAGAACCACTGGGCTAAATCCCTGGCCCCACCAATTTTTGAGTGAGGTGGATGTTAGCTCTCTGCATTGAAGGCCTCATTCAATTCTTGCCACAAACCTAGAAGGGAGGTACTGTTATTCATAGATGAACAAATGGATCAGAGAGGTTAAGAAGTTTCCCCAATGTCATTTAGCTAGTAAGAGAAAGAATTCACATTCAGATATTGGCTATAAGGCCTTAAATAATATAATGTATGTACATTATATAAAAAGTTGCAGCATTTAGTGCTGTTCAGACTGATAGGCTTCACATATTACATATTACTTCTCTTCATATGGCCAGACTCTTCAAGCCCTATTTCTTTTTATATTACAGTCTGTCCTATTTATTTTCTATTTCTTTTTTGTTTTTGTGATGCTGGGCATCAAACCCAAAGCCTTGCACATGCCATGCAATTGTTCTACAACTGAGTTCCACTTATTATTAAAGTAAGGCTGTTACTCCTACTCACTCACATTTTCAGGTGCAGTAGCCTATGTATTTTCTTAATTTGAAGTTCTCTCCTTACTCTTGAAAAGATAGCTTAAAAAAAATATAAGCCAGTACTTACCTGAGTGTAATGGCCACAGACATTGTTACATTTCTGAGTGTTGAAGTCATAGTATTGGATTTCATTGTACCAATTTGAGATGGCTGAAGACACTGAAAACAGGAACAAAGATCCAGTCCAGATATTTTCTCCCAGTGAATCAAAGTTTGGGTGGAGCCTGTGTGACTTCAGCTGTGGGTTGTGTCCAAAGAGACAATTTTTTGCCCACGCTTTTGCAACTTGGGCGAGTGCTGGGTCCCAAGTCTGCAATAACAAATATTAAAAAATATAGAAGTCAAGAATAGAATCTATTACTCAACAATGTAACTAAAGTGAACAGGTGGAATTTGAATAGCAAATGAGGCTTGATGACAAGACTAGAGAAGTAACCACTGCATACAGGTCCTGTTAAAATAGTTTTCAAGCACTAAGGCTGTTAAGAAATGTGGTGATCTAGTTTTGAGGAATTCAGAATCTAAGTAAGATAGAACAACATTTCACTGAAGATCAACTATATGTAAGATAGTTTACACCATTTTCTGTAATTTATTGGCCACCACAGCCTCATCCTAAGAAGCTCAGAAAGGTTAAAAACCAGTTTAAAGCCACTGGTCTGGGATTCAAACCCAGAATCAAAATCCCATCTGTTCCCCAGAAGGCAGGCTGCTTTCCTGAGATAGTCAGTGCTCTGCTAGCAAAAACAAACAAACAAGCCTGCTGCAGACAGGCAGGTCTGTGCAAGTCCTACCGAGGTCCTGAGTTCTGTGGAACATGCCGAATCAGCCCTCACCCCGGCAACAATCCACTGGAGCGCCCCCACCCCCACCCAACCCGCTCCTCTGTACAGCCATCTGGTTCCACACTACAAAGACGCAGAGGACACTGGACCACCAGACCACGGTACTGAGTCCTGCTACTGCCAGCTCAGAGGTAGGGGCTTCTGAGCTGCCGTCTCACTGCTCCTGGTCCAGAGGAAAGGGCTTCCTGGCCACCATCCCTCCCGTTGCTTCCAGCCCAAAGGAAAGGGCTTTTGGGCCACCTTCTGTCCTGCCACTCCTGGCCCAAAGGAAGGGGCTTCCGGACCAGCATCCCTCCCACCACTCCCAGCCCAGAAGTAGGGGCTTCTGAGCCACCATCCCACTGCTCCTGGTCCAGAGGAAGGGGCTTCCAGGCCACCATCCCTCCCACTGCTCCCAGCCCAGAGGAAAGGGATTTTGGGCCAGCATCCCTGCCGCTGCTCCTGGCCCCTGTCTCACCTCTCCCAGCTCAGAGGTAATCTGTGCAGGCGCCAACAGCGCCGCCCCGCCCGCCCCCCCAATTGTAATGAGAAAACATGTAAATAAGTCTCAAAACCAGACTTCCAGATCACCTACAGCAACCCCAAAGGGAAATGAGATGGAACACTCTGATACTCA